TATATATGTACGTCATTACGACTTAATATACATATGCTTTGAATCCGCTTAGTGTTACTTAGTCTAGGTAACCTTCAAGCCTAAGCTAAACTCCAGAGATGTTTATATTTACTAGTTTAAGAGAAAAGTAGAGTAGTTTTATGAAGCAACAGAACCTAACGGTTGAATGGAAAATATAAAAAAGAAAGAATAAAACATAGTACGAATATTGCTACGTTAAGAGAATTTGTCATTTTATAATATAAATATAATGATCATATTCTTAGACGGGTATTGAGATGAACATTATCACAACAAGGGCCTCAAACAAAAATTGGCCCAACTCTTCCCGTCTTTTCATAGAATTGCTTGGCAAGTAGAGGTTTCTCAGGTTTTTTTTTAGAGGCCGTTGCATATTGTCTGACCCATTAATAAACCATTCTAAAATAAGATATTTTTTATAAGCAGCTCGGCCCAAAAAAGATGTGTAGTTATTTCGTGGAATGTTCCCAGCTTTAGAATTAGAGCAACAAGTTCGTGTATGATTACCGATAAAAAGAGATTAGCTATTTATTTGTGTAGTCGGTTATTTCTTCCGTATTCGCTGTCAACCATTGCTAAGTTCTCTTGCCAGCTTCCGTATTGAATATAGGTCATCGTTTTGCTGACGTGTTGTCGTTGTTGTGTTTCAGTTCAATCGATACGTGTACCTGGGAACGTACGACGAACGGTCAAACCTTGAAAAAGAGAGTCTTCGAGAAGAACACAAAATTAGAGAATTTATGGTGCAGAAGTACGAACGAAAACGGTAAGAGGTCATTTTTTTCAAAGAATATTTTCAGTTGGCTAAGAAATAACTACTTTTTTGAGGAAACAATCAGTGATTAGTTTAAGCGAAGTTAATTTGATTCTCTGAGTGCTACATTAGAAGTATATTACTTCAGCTTGCTGCATTATGTATCTTAAAGTTAGGCCAAATTGTAAAACGCACATTGTTCCGTAAGAACAAAATACTCTGCATCGGATTGCTTGTAAAATAAGAGTTCTACCTCAGGACTAACACCATTATATAAAAAAAATATCGCTATAATAGCCTCGATAGATGAAAAATGGAAAATTTACTCACGGCTTGTATCTATCAAGCATTATACAAGGGGCAAGTTGTTCACAGTCATTTTCGTATGGAGTCTTTTAGTGGCTCTTTATCGTTATTAACTTGACGGTTGGTCTACATTTGATTTCATCGATTGGGTACAGTATCTTTGCGCGTGGGAACGTGTAGCTGCTTTATCGATTTCGATACTGAAGACCTCAGCAGGTAATCTGTATACCTAATAAACACATTGTTATGTGGCCAACATACGATACTCTCTACAATTTTTACAATTTTTTATCAATACGTATTTTAAAACTGTCCACTTAAGTACCCAAATGTATCAGCTTGGTGTTATCAAATCACCACAAATGAGATACACTGGCTACCTTAGTACTTCATAACCTATTCATTGGTATTATGACAACCTTTTGATATCCGGAAAACTTTAGGCTGGACCTTTCAATTTAGGCGATTTCATTTCCGATCAGAAAGGCAACGTGAAGTTCATAGCTCCGATGTTCGTACAATGCTCGATGTCTAGCTTGTTAGTCCTTTAGTATAAAGAGATACTTTTGGCAACAACTAGAGATGAACAAACAAATGCTTCGCCATTGTTGCAGGTAACATATTTCTTCAATTATTTACAGATATCTAAGCGCATTAGAAAAGTAAAGTTGTCCACTATGTCACCCAGTAGAATATTTCGACCATATAGTTGATGATCTGAGACAAAGCCTACTGGCAGTATGTACAATGTGTAATGTTTTCGTTTTTCCTTGGCTAAATCATTGTTCTCAGTTGGTTCGTTGATCCTGATATAGCACAGCATAAAATGCAATTGGACCGGCGACAGCGCGCGGCAGCGGAGCAAGGCATAAGCTTAACGGGCGGCTCGGTCTCGAAGCCATCCTCAAAACCACCGGCGACATTTGCCACGCGCTCGCAGCCGGTAACGCCAGCTGGCGGTGAACTCTGGTCGCCGCCTCTAACGGCCACCAGCACAGCACCTGCATTTGCAGCATTTGGCACAGCATCACAACAGCAACAAACAGCACCAGCAAATAGCAACACTAGTGCGTTCAACGACGACCTATTCGCAATGTGCAAAGAGGCCATTCCCCTGCCCGCAGATCCATTTCGATCATCTTCCACTTCGAAAGAGCAGCAACCGCAGTATCAGTTTCAGCAGCGGCCGCTTCGCAACAACAACAACAACAACAACAACAGCAGCAGCAACAGCAACAACAGCAGCAGCAGCAGCAGCAGCAGCAACAGCAGCAGCAGCAGCAGCAACAACAACAACAATAACAACAACAAGCCTTCTACCATTGGTATCGTCGATCCATTTGGACAGTTATCAACAGCATCGTTGTCAATCGATCCATTTGCGGCTTCAACGGGGCTAGCGTTGACCGCAAAGCCACAAAGCGGTTCCCGTGCGGTTCTTTCGCCACCTCCATCTCAGACTCACGTGACGCCTCATCATCTTACAGCGTCTGCGGCTCCGGCCAAATCGTCGATGGGCGATTTTGCCGATTTCGACGCCGCGTTTGGTGCGGCCGCGGCCAATTCCGCTGATATGACGATTCTGGCGCAAGCTTCAAGTACACCTTTGGTGCCATTGCCGGCAAATGCTAAAACGGCGTTTTCGGGAAGCGGAGCGACGTTAACACACGGAACGGCGGGGGTCGGTAATGGTTCCCTTAGCAAAAAGGGCCTCGCCTCACAAAATGAAATATCTAAAGGCGGGGCACCCTCAGCTGATCGTTATGCTGCTCTGGCAGAACTTGACGAACTTCTCAGCGGGCAAGTAAGTCTTATGAAAAGAAAAAAGTAACTCAGTTTGCATCGATCAAAAGTCTTGCAATTGTGCTGCAAGCACGCCAAATGTCAACCCGATCAGATCAAACCTCGAATTAATTTTCCGCTTTTCAAGCAAATTATGAACCCTAAAATAAATCCTTTCATCCATAAAGTGCGGCGTGCCACTATGAGCGTAAAGGAGGGGCATATTAGTGTTAGGTTACTTGACAACAAAAATTACTTGTAGTAAATATTATCAAGGTCAAAAGACGAAATGAGGCGTAAAGGTACGTTTTCCCGAGAGGCTTGAGGTCGCCTGTTGCAACAAAGAAAATGACACCTATTTTAACAACGGCAGTTAAGAAAACCACACCGGCGGTTAAGAAAAAGGAAAAAGTGTAGTAATCAATATAATAAATCATTATAGTGTCGTTTACTAAAAGCCCTTCCAAAAGCGTTGTTTAAGTGTACTTAAAGTTAATAACTAGAACTAATGCTCCAGGATTAAAAGCTCTTATGTAATAATGCACCATTCTCCAATCTCTTTTTTGAAAAACAATTCGGCCGCCGTCTAAACCTTTATATTAACCCGAACTAATTTTTATCACTGCTTTTTATTGTAAAATATATAAGAAAAGCCAAGAGACACAGACGTGGTGTCAAAGAACTCGAGTTTAGTAGATTTTTTAATGAGCAAAAATGTGGTATATATGCACGCTTTTTAAAAAAAGACTGTGTGAAATTGAACTGACAAAATTTAGAGTAATATTTCCTTCCAAACAGCATTTCTTAAGCGACGGTAGAGTTACTGTACAAATCTGTGTGCATCACATTTCAGAAAAATGACTCAGTGTCTAAACCGAATGAGGTTGTCAGCGGAGTGTTATCTTCAACAGATCCTTGGGGAAATCACCAACCTACGCCAGGTATGATTTTAAATTAAAAACTCAGAACAGTATTTCATGTATTTCACTGTTTTTGGGCACTTTAATTTGTACTTAGTATAGTTTCATCCATACAGGCATGCTACCCTAAATTTGTCCTGCAAGTCATAGAGGGATTCTGAAGCCTACTTTGAGCACCTAACAGATCACTATTAGGTTGTCACAACCGAGTTCGGCGGAGTTTGAAATTGAATAACTTTTGAACCACAGGTCTCCTAGAAACTTGCGAGTAAAAACCAGTAGAGTTTACTCCTGGAAAAATGAGTTCAGGAGAATAAACTTCTTGTAGCCTTAAATGTAAAATGCTCAGTAGTCAAATTTGAAGGCCAGAGAATTGCCCAAATCCATCAGCGATTTGTAAAGACATTAGCCGAAGAGGCCATAAATGAAAGCATCCTTTATGAATAGTGTCAACGTTTCAAGAACAAAGACTGAAGTGTTAAAGACCATCGAGGAAATTATAGGATGGCGGGACCCAAAGGACAAGAACGAGATGTCACGACTGAGGAGACTTTTCACGAAAGCAGAACATATAGTTTAAGGGCTCCGTCGGGCAAAACTGGCATTTCATATGTAACGTGTTATAGAATTGGAACCAAAATACCGACAACGGGGAAACTATATAAAAATTGGTCCCCCATGAATTCATTTTAGATCAATCGGAAATGCATGTACTATACTCCACATATAGTTTGCAGAACTTTAATCAATGAAAAGCATGCCCAAGCATAGGGTCGTTATGGGTAAGGCATGCTGCATTCCCTACCGATAGCCGGGGACGGATTAAGTAAGAAAATGCTGTCGCTCTGGAGAGAAATCGAGTTTGGTAGCAGTGTCGAGCGGGTCCGGACAGAGGTGATAATAGTTGTTGCTATGAGTACCTGTGAAATCTGCTACTATAAGATATTCGCTAAAAACAAAACAAGTGCTGCCCGCTATCTCGAGTTCCTCACGAAACCTGTGTATTGTTGACATGGTACTCTAAAGCTTACACCGTAATTACTGGATGACAACACCAGACATCATAGCCATGCCTGTGTTATTGCGGGGCTTCCCTAAAAAGCATATCCAACAGTCAATTTGTTTTAATTATTATCAAGTAATTTCACATAAATGCAAATAGTAGATACACGGATGTTCAGAAGGTACTATGGAACTACTGGAATGAGTGCGTTAAAGATAACGAAGATCATCTATAACATAATCATCATTCTAACCGAACTAGTTCAGGTGTTAATCAACTTCAAAGTCTATTGGCTTCGCATGTAATATATTTGACCCGAAAAAAGGGTGGGGTTATGTTATTATTATATATTAAACTTTTCAAATTCCTCGTCTTCAGTTGCTAGAAATAAGTTGATCTCACTAATCTAAAAAAAGCTTCAATAACTTTTAGCTTACTTATAGCAACTGACATATGTTGGTAGCAGTATTTAAGGGCAACGGCTGAGAACTTTATACAATTATAAAGCCAAATTTCCTGCTAGAAGTATCATATGACTCTGACAAATTTTTTCCTTTCACTAAGATACTTCGTAAAATAATAAAATTTCTTATAAACATCCTATGAATTATCTTTTGTTCTAACAAATTAAATGTTTACTAATGTTATAACTGATATGCTAGTAGTGAAAACGATTATACACTTTTGCCTTTGCTGCATGTTACCGATCTAGCTACGGCATCTGCAAATCCATTTTCTCCTACGGGCGCTACAGCTCCATCGACCGGTGGAAGCAACAATCCGTGGGGTTCGCCAGCAGCCCCGGCTCCATCTCCTGCATCCGCATCTTCCCCTAATCCGTTCGCTATAGCAGCCAACTCGTGGGGTACCACTATACCAAGTACGTCACCCGCCGGTGCGGCCCAAGCGATAACGTTTGGTCGTATAACACCTTCAAATGTTACGACACAGTCTTACGACCTAGCGGCACTCACAACTACTCTGGCAGGCGTACAACTTAAAAATGGCCGTATGACGCCAACGATAAGTCAATGGCCAAACAACAATCAACAGAAATCATTGGCCTCTATTGCTTTGAGTTCTGGAGGGCCGCCAGGCGCCTCTACCCAGACATCCGCATCGTCCAATAGCGGCAGATTCCCCACTACCTCCTGGAATGCTGCATCCCTCGCTTCCACTGGCAATAGCAGTACCGTACAAGCTGGCTTTTCTCAGACGCATCAACAGCAACTGGAGGTCGCAGCGCCGACAAATACTGTAGCCACAAGAAGTAACAGTACAAATAGCAGTTGCAGCGGCACTGGAAGTATTTCTGGTTCGGGTAACTGTACACAGGGCGGCGCCGATTGGGCCGGGTTTGGACAGTTGGCCTGGTCTAACGGTACCACCACATCGGCTAGCACCGGCATGAACGCCGCAGGGGGTTGGCCTAATGGAGGCGCAGGCCTAACCGAAGTATGGTCACAGATGCCAACTAGTGCTTCGACTCCCGCATTCAATGCACGTAGCCATAGTCCCGTCCAGCGAATTGCTGCACCAGCCATAAGCAAAGTGTCAGGTTAGTTCAGAAAGGTTTTCCACTACACTCATATGTGAAGTAACTTTGAACATAAGCGGAAGTACGTGCTATACTGCATATAATCATAAAACAGCATAACTCTGTGACACACTTTTATCTATCTCTGACACATGGAACATTTATTACCCAGCCTTGAAGGATTCAGCTAACTGGTTCGGTATAGGCTTTTTCGAACGCAGTTCTTGTACATCGTGAGTCTTATTCATCCTTGTTTCCTTAATACAGTGACAAAAAAATGGCGACGCTGTCATTTGTCATTACATTATCATTGTTCAGCGAGAGTACCGGTTGCTCTGATCGACGTTCTACCGAAAATTTGTTTTCAGCAATGTCGCGAACAAACTGCGCCCAAAAACCAATATTGAGCACTAACCAACAAAGTGTTATTGTATTTCCCATGGTTTGTTTCCTCGTGTACTTGGCATTCGTCTAAATGGCAGGCATTATTTTAAGCACAATTTTTAGGAGGTGTTCCACAGTCCTTTTCGGTGCACTCTGCCTTTGGAGCCGCTCAGTGGCCTCCAAACGGGACCCCTAACGGAACCCACCAAACTGGGCTTCCTAACGGACGCGTCCCTTCGAATGCAAACCCCTTTACACCGGTAAGAACAAACGAAATCGTCTTTATTGAATTTGGAGCTTATAGACGTATGGATGGAGAGATTATAGACGTAAAAGTAATATATACAGTAACTATATGTAGCTATAGATAGAAGAGCATATTTTTTTTGGACAACATAAATGTGAGTTAGCTTTCTGAACACAGTTGAAAATTGATCGTACGATGTATGTATAACAGTATCCTAGTACAAATAAGCAAAGGAAAACAGTGGCAATTTTATTTCAACCCCCTACTAAAATTTAACGCAAAAAGGATATGATTGTATGTTTATGTTTATTTGTACTTTATTTGGCGGCCGCTCTTTTCAGAACGGCTCGGGTCCGTTGGGTGCAGCGCGCGTCTGTTCAACGAGTAATCCATTTCTTTAGTTAGCGATACAATGTATTCCTCGTGGAGCAGAACAAATCCGGATAACGCTCGTAATTGATCTTCGGAAGCACATGAAGGTAGCCTGAGCCCGGGGTGGTGAAGTAACTTTTTTTTTTCGTGTTTCAAGCACGCAAGTGTCACAGCAAAGACGGTTTTGGAATTATTCCGCGTTCAAGGACGAATGCATCTTAATTTTGCCATTACGAATCATTGTCCAGTAATGTAGTGTCATATTCGATGAAACCCAGTTGGAACAGCGCGGTTGTGCTTGTTAGACGTAATGACAATACACGGTGTAGCTATCAGTATCTCCAGCACGAAGCAGCTTCGAGATACTTGTTCGAAGCATTGTTCCATGTGCTTATACAACTGTCGAAGAATGCTTAAAACGATTTCTCTACGGCCGCAACAAGGACCACAGAAATGGGACGTACGAGGAGGCTGGGCAAACGTGGGAAACAACAAACGAAGTTTGAATTCTATGAAAAAAAAAGTGACTGGAAATAACTAGGGGTAAAAAGTCAGGAAAAATCGAAGGCAATAAAACAAAGCAAATATACGTGAAACATCGATTCCGATTTGGTGGGACCGGTTGCAAAATGAAACCGATCTATATATGTGAAATGTGTTGACAACTAAATATATAGGAACGTCTAAATGTTGCTAGAGGTAAGGAAGAAAACAACAACAAATACAAAGAATAGAAAAATCAACGGATAGAAAAGCAAGGGTTAGACACAAAGAAGTGCATCCCACGGTAACACTAGAAGAATTATTTAATTGAGATAAATTTGTTGGAAATAAGGTCATCTTGTGGGTAGATACCTATTACAATGAACTAATAATATATGAACGGTTAACATAACCTCTAACACTAAAATAACACCAGCAATGAAGTACACAGGTTTATGGAAGAAACATAAGTGACTTAGTGGGCTAATATATTGATTCAGAATAAAAAAAAAACAACGTATACTGTGTGAAGGAAGAAGACAACACAGCAATTGCTGCGGGCTAGCGTAAAAACATAACGCAAAACAAAAATAGTGCGGGCCAAAAAATGACCATGATATATGTTACCTGATTCCCGTTCGGTTCCGCCCAGCAAATGGATGTGTGAAATCCTGTCATGGATCTGACAGGATCCTGAAAGAAGTAAAAGTGACAAATTAAGGGAGAACGGAGTAACGAGAGAAGTTTTAGTGACAGAAAAAATGACGAATCAATTGATACCAACAACGGAGAGAGGAGCACATTGTATTGAAGGTAGAAAGTCATACAATGTTGTGATTTTCCTACAGCTGTTATAGCAGAAATTGCTACAGCTATGATTAATTATAACCATCCTGTGTTTCCACCAACTATTCTATCGTGATCCTCTGCATGTAGTTAAAGGTAGAAGAGAGAATGATCATCTAAGATGGACGATGAAAGAACGCGAAAATTAAGAAGTTTAACACGGATGGTGAAGCGTTTGTTCACGAACTTAAAAGTATCTATACACACTTACACGACCATACGGACACGCTACAAGAAACTATAAGAAAACAGTAGAATAAAAAGCAAAAGACATTGAACAGCGTATATCAAGCACGGTATCAATGATTATCGTGATGACAACAAGGAAGGGTAGGAAGACTAAAAGGAGCCGATGAAGATGTACTGTATGATTGTGTACAGTTTATATTGCATTGTATATTTAAGTTAAGTCACTCGAGCCACTTATCTTGCTAAGTTTGATCGAGACGATAAAAAATGTATGTAGATATATAAACTTACGAGAACGATTTAAAAAAGCACTTTATGCAGACAAATATAAAATGTCTCCGTAACGAATGGCGAGTACACAACATGGCGATATCAACAAGCCTGAGAAAGGGGACAAAGAGCAAAATTCTGCTAATCTAACGAAGTGATAGCAGGTTGATGAATATTTCGCAGAGTGAATATATTTTACAAGAAGAGACGGAAGAGCAACACGTAAAACTGTGACAGTTAGAGATGAGGGGCTCTGCAGAACGCCAGTTATTCGGGTTTGTCCAGCAAGGAAGGGAGTAAGACTGAAGTTAGTTAGAAATTCGAATCGACAGCAAACACGGGCTCGAACAGCTGCTTCGATAATGACGATGACGCCTACGACAATGATAACATAACGTTCACAATAAAGTAAGCTAACTAAATAACAATAAATGCGGTGCTTTCAACTTGAGTCGTTTTTTCTAGATAGGTGGTTTTTCCTCTTAGTTTGACCGGTGTCAGTATCAAAACAGAACAAATAAAGACTGCTTATGATGAAATGGAATTGTTGCGTTTTAAGCTAGCAATTAACTATTAAGCTTGTATTTCGTTTCGAGTTGGCTGAGATTAATTAACGAAAACTTCAAGGCAAGTTTTTCTATCCAATCTTTTGATTTGACATAAACTGTTAATATATGCAGTTTATTTACCTCCTCACACACCACCTTTATTTTAAAATACGCCAGATCATTTAAGACATTGTATGAGTTTTTTTTTCGTTTGCAGAAAACACCTGAGTATTCGTGGGAAAATGCATTCTGTGCCGTCATAATAGATGCAAATGAAGCTAAGTAAGTGGTCCAAATTATCACACCTTAAGTTAATGCATAAACACTTCATATCGATATTCAATAGATTAAACTTACCAATTTTGCAGTAATAGTCATTACTAGTAGTTACTATTGCATGTCATTGGAGTTTTTTAATCTGAAGATAACATATGTAAGTTGAGCATCCAGCAAGCACTAACTGCTACGATGGACTCTTCAACTCACGACGTATATTATATAGACAGCTGCTGGTAAAAATTATTGATTAATTATGTTGTTACCTTTTCACTTTATGCTGGCTTTTTCGCATTTATGTGTAGTGGACATGCTTTGCAATTTTAAATTGATACCGATGAGATTTTTTCTGTAACCAAAATTGTCATTAGATATTTTTTCTACGGCAAGAGGAGGAAGGCAAAGGCTAAACCAGATGGTAAGTCTATAAAATTTTCTCATTTTTTGAGAAATTTGAAAATGAGAACTAGTGGGTTTCTGCTGCTGCTGCTGCTGCTGCTGCTGTTGTTTTAGTTCTAAGATGAGACTTCTAAAAGTAACCTGTAGTACGTGCTAGGCAAAGATATCACTCGCTGCACCTACCATGTTTTAGCTTCATTTCATAAGATCAAATGAAGAGTCGCATCTGCAAAAAATTCCACAGTGGTATTTTTTGGTATTTGGAATTCTCTCAACTGTAGCAAAAATATTGAGCTAACTTTTAACCGAATACTCGCTTTTTCCCAACAAATATGCACTACAATGTTACATGACTATGCATGCTTTAAGATTTCGTAAGGCCCATTAAGATTTAGGCACTACCAAGTGCAAGAGCGGCATTCTGATATTCTGAAAATTTTTACAATAATTCGGTGTTTTTATTTTATTCTTAATCCAATCTGAAGTCTCAAGCATGATTAATTCAAAATGTATTTTATCTCACTCACCAACTAACGTCGCACAGATACGAAAATACCGGTTTTTTCTGCAGGTCTGTGTCATGATTATTATTTTTCATTCACACACACACACACACACACACACACATATATATATATATACATTCATTTAATCTCCCAAAAAATGTACACATAATTTCAGTACTTGTAACCTCTGACCGTAGATGTTCAAAATGTCGTGTGTAGGGACGCGCAGGGCATTTTATGGGACCCCTTCGCGTAATCTATCTTTGTGGAAGATTCTCATTAAGATATGGTTTTAAATTATGACAGTACGCAGTACCTTGTACTAATAGAAACATTCACGATATTTCCCAAAATACTTCTAAATACGTAAAAACAATGGTGTCGCGTCGTAAATTCAAGCAGTGCAAGGCACCCGTCAATGTACTGTGAAGAAGAATGTAAACATTGTTGAGACACGTTATATATATATATATATATATGTACGAAGCATCATGTCTGATACATCCCAGCGATTGTCTCACCCAATGAAACTGCGTAGGACGTTGTGGGCGAAACGGCAAGGTCGCAGAGGCGGAGGTGTTGATTACCATCATTTTAACCAACTTAATTATCCAAAATGATTAATTATATGATCACTCGGACAGGAGGAACGGAACCTTATCCCTAATTATAATCACCGAAATTCTAATCTCAATATAATGATTGTATATGACATTAACTTCACTATTCTTCCGTTACGTGTTATATTTTTGTGACCGGAAACGCAACTTGCCCGACCCAGTAACCTAAGCGTGTGTGTGCATTTCTTATTTCGAGATACATCAGCGCATTTCTACTAAAGGGGAAGCACTCAAACAAACATATGTCAGTGTTTACCAACTAATTAATAACCGATTGATAATTAAAGAATGTAACCATTACACGTTGTTGATATTTTCACGCAAAATACTGACTGATTAATCAATTTTTTTTTTATCATACATCCATGCGTACCATTATAAAAACCCTTAATGGATGACGCTGCGTTATTCTCTCTGCAACAATACGAAAGACACGCTAATGGATGATACCTGTCCTGCTCACGTTCGATCGCCCTGAGCGACATCCGCACTGGAGCAATTCGTTCATTCGCGGCTTGCTAGTTGACTGCACTATCCTCGGGCGCGCTGCTTCATATTGTTATCATTTACATGTCATCCAGTGAGCGCTGCCTGCCTACCTGCTGCCAGCCACAGGCGGCCAGAGGAGCAGCAGCAACCGCAGCCGCCGCCGCCGCGACAGCAACGCGAATCGTTGTCGTCAGTCGGGCGAGCGTCTACTGGCAGCAGCAGCAGCAGGAGTAGCCGTCTAATAGACAGAGAACCCCCTAACGGACGACAGGTCCTGCGGAACGTCGACGTTTCTCAGACGTTAGCTGATGACGATGAGCAACCACTGAGGGCTGCAACGACAACAAAATCGGAACGACGAATTGGAGTGCGTCTTTCCAAAAAGTGAGTGTGATTGTGTGTAGTGTTGTCCGCCGACGGCAGAGAGCGAACAAAGGCGGAAGCCCCCCAAAAAGGCGAACCTAACGGCCAAGACCACACGACAACGTATACCAGGTTGGCCAGCAGCAGCAGCAGCAGCAGCAGCAGCAGCAGCAGTAGTAGCAGCAGCAGTTGTGGTGGTAGTATTGATTCAGTAGTGTACACACCCCTCATCCGACGAGCTTTCCCCCTTAGCCCCGCGAGTCCCGCCGACTGCGGTGGTGATCAACAGCTGGTGACTCTTGCCGCTCCAGTGACAGGGCCGAAAGGCACGCGCACCCACCAGCGAGCACCCCTGTAGTGGCCGTGAACGCTAGCAAACGCAACCGGAGCGCCACGGGACGCTATCAAAGCCAGTGAGTGCTTTCATTCGATGGCTATGACCGGCACCGGGCGCGATCCACTCCATAGTAGCAGCAAAGGTAGGAGCACAAACGTGCAGGCTTTCGTCGCAGACTCCACTATCGCGGCTGCGGCAGCTGTTATTGTGGTTGTTCCTGCTACTGGTTGTGATGGCGCCTGTTAACATCACCACATCATATGTGATCGACTGAAGAACCAAAAACAAGCCCAAAGGGAGAATGTGGAGAGCATCTGTGTGCTCGTAATGCCAGTACGGTTCATTCGGCAGCAGCGCGGAAGTAGTACGTTAACGCGAAGCAGGCCAACGTAGAACAGGCCACTCACATCGCACAGCAGTAGTAGCAGCAGCAGCGACAGCAAGCAAGTGAACTGAGACAAAACCCGATTAAGGATGTGCTCGCATTTTGCACCTTTGATCTAAAGTGGAAGTGTCCGCGTGATAGCACAGTGTTAACGTAATTCCCTACTAAACCTAGGGACGCTTTAGGTGATCTAGATTCAGAACCGAACGTATACTGACATGCCGTGTTTCGTGCTGGAAGCCAGCCGTCTATATGTAATGTTTAACGGCTGTAAAATTTGAGACATACTTTTAAGTGGTAGCGTGACGAGCACAAATTGGCACAGCATCACTGTGCTCATAAACAATCAAAATCAATTAATGAAACAATAACAAAATGACCGGTTGATAGTCAAGGAACAATTTATCATCATTACGGTCTTCGTAACCAACGATAAGCAAAAAAAGGACATTTTCAGATTGGATGCCTTTCACCAGCTGCCAGCCCATGTGATCACCATATGATCCATATGATGATGATGCCGGTATCACAGTTATCCGTATTACGAGATTGTTACGTATAACCAAAGGAAGGAAACGTTGGCGCGAGAAAGCTGCGAGAGTGAGATTAAGGGAAAGTCTCTCGCACCGGCGCACACTAGCACAGTTTGACGCACAACAGGCCAAGTTCTACCCCTCCCCCCTTTCCCCCCCCCGTTGCGATTTTTTCTGTCCATCCTACTCTGCGTACGTGTAAGATCTTCACCTAGTTGAAGAAACAAGGTGAGACAGAAATAATATCAGGAACAGAAACTAACGAGTATCTCTATGTATGTGTGATACGCTGAGTAAGAGCAAGGCAGCCAGATAGACAGACGGACGGATAGACACACACATAAGCACATGCACAGCCACGTCAAGTAGTGCGTCGTTATCACCGATACAGTGAGTAACGAACGAACGTCGGATGCAATAGCTGTGTCAGACGTCGCTGACGTTAGCAGCAGTCAAAGGCGACGGCAACGCGGGCCCACAAAGACAGATGCATACACACTGCCACAGGGAAGTAGTCAGCTAGTCAGCCACTTGGTGTATTTATTCAGACGTTCGTTTGTTCAGTCAGTGAGCGTGCGATCAGGCGAGAGGAGTGCGTTTGTCCGCCCGTCCGTCACTACTTCGACGTCGCTGCAGAGCCGTCGTCGTCAGTGAGAGCGGCGGCGAGTGCCGGTGGCAACAACAGCAGCAGCAGCAGCAGCACTAGTGGCAATAACCGACAGTTTTCGAAGCTGCTATTGCTGCGGTCCTAAAGTGCAGACTGTCGTTTGGTGACCGTCGTCGTCGTCGTCGTCGTCGTCATCGTCGTCGTCGTCGTCGTCGTCGTCGTGGTGCAACAGCAGCTGCTGTAGCGGTGACGGTGCCCGTGCGACAGCGGTCACAGCGGCGGTGGCACTAATAGCGCTGCTGCTACTGCTGCTGCTGTAGACGTAGCAGTGCGGTCGTCGTGCTGGTGGCAGAGGTTGTGACTACGTCAACGGACGGTGGCCGTTCTCTTGGTCTGCCCTATTCTGCAGCTGCAGGCCGCTCTCGGTGCGGGCGCTGCTGGTGACAGGGCTGTACAACCGGATCACGCTGGTGCCAACAGTCTCGTCAGGAGAAGTTCAATTAAGCCGGCGGCAACAACAACAACAACAACAATAACAACAACAACAACAACAACAGCAACAGCAACAAGATCAAAATTGACATTGCAACAACAGTAACGGTCACTAGCGACACCTATACGTCGTCGCCCTCGTTAGCTGTCATCATCATCGGCGGCGGCGGCGGCGGCGGCGGCGGCAGCCGCAGCAGCAGCAGCAGCAGGACGTCGTTTATTGCCAGTGGCTATTGCTAGCATCACTATGATTAGAGCCATGCTTTAATACTGCCTTTGTTGTTGCCGTCGTCATTGTTGTTGTTGTTGCTGCTGTTGTTGTTGTTGTTGTTGTTGTTGTTGTTGTTGTTGTTAACGGTGATGCTGATGATCCTGTAGCCGTCGGTGCTATTTGTGTCTACGTTGTTGTTGTTCATTTACTGGTCGGTATCATCGGAACTTCTTCATTGCGTTGTATCGCTCGCTGCCGGCTAGGCAGGCGAAAACGACCAACACTGTCGGTATCCCCAACAGCGAAACAATATTGGCTCTCATCCACTGCATATTTCCGGAATGAGTTGAACTCTCCTGCTGCCATACGCTGTTTATGTGAAAGCATACTTCTACGTACCAGTGAGTCCATATGCTCGTCTTGTGTTCGCCCACTTGTGTGACATTCCCTTAACCTGGAGCAGTGGTCAGCTCTAGGAACAAGACAGGTCCACCATCTTGTAGGTTCAGACAGCATTCACAAGTAGCAGCAGCGACGACGACAGCAACACCAGTAGCAACTGTACCAGAAACATCAACTGCTGCCGCCACCAACATCACGGCTGCAACAAAAACGGCCGCGGCGCGGACAGCGTCAATAGCAGCGACAACAATAGCAAAAACCGGCGACATCAGGAATAGCGCCGCTGTTGTCGTTGTCGTCATTGCTGACGCTGGCGACGACACGTAACCTAACGTAGCAGTTGCGTCAACAATAGCCGTGAGGAGAAGCAAATAATTGTGGCATTGCCGTCCTCCGGAGCTGCCTGGTCGCGTGTTCATACAATCGCTCTTCGTCCGCCCTCTTTCTCCCCCTCCTTTCACGTCCTCAGTTGCGTGTCATTTGGTGAGAGTCGTGTCGTAAGTACACTGTTAACGATTTATTGGTTGATCGATCGGCTGGTCAGCGGCACCAAATCGGCCGTTGTTGTTACTGTCTTACTTTAGCGCACATATTCGAGTAGCAGGCACGTGCGTAACTTTTCCCGTGCGCATAAATTAAATGCTGGTAGATCATGTGAGTACTTGTGCAGATGTGTATCATTGCATCAGGCTATTGTTGCCAGTTGATGTCGATCTGCCAGCTGGTGGAGAGTGCTATAAATGCCCCTGGCCGAAGAAATCGGCCGAAATTACCGACAGCGACACGATTTTAACTAGAATAACACACGGCAACATTAAGTATTATTATTATTATTATTACTACTCCATGTTTAATGCGGTGCTTTGATGGACTAGCCGGCAGAAAAATAAGAAAGCCTAACGGAAGTAATGAGTCGGCCTCTCTCCGCGAACGCGCAAAGACCTGTTAGGATTCGAATTGCAGGTGCTAGTCCTGCGATTTTGAACAGAAAGGAAGAACGGTCACGATTATCGTAACTATAATTGATACGTTTGTATATAGATATAAATTTATCATTAAGGCCGTGCATGTGTGCTCAGTCAAGTCGACATCGCCGTGAGGTTGCGTGCTTTGAGCGCACGTGTGATTTTGTCGATCCTTCGTCTACAGAACAACTATAGTGACAGTCACAACGGCGGCAGCAGCAGCAGCAGCAACAACAATAGGCGCGAGAATTGGAGAAGTAAATACGGAGAAGATTCTAGAATAGAAGGAACAGAAAAGAGGCTGGAGCGTACGCTATCGTCTGCAGCGATTTTATCCACCTAATAAGTTTGTAGCAGTAGTTCCTCTTAACCAGATCCGTCGTCGTCGTCGTCGTCATCGTCATTATTGCTATTATCGTTAGCAGAAACATTATGCGACCAATGGGCTGACCAGTTCAACCCCGGAGAGTTGGTGATTCAATTGCTCATTTAAGCAGCCGCCATCGCCGACGGTCGCCACTGGCAACTCGTCCTTGTCACATCGACGTCTAACAATAGTCCGGCAAATTGCATCAACGCCATACCTGCTTACCTACCTACCTGCCTGCCTGCCTGCCTGCCTGCCTACCTACCTACCTACCTACCTACCTACCTATCTATCTGTCTGTGTACCTAGCCGCTTATCTCTATCGCTTATTTCTAGAGAAAGCCAGCCAGCCAGCTGCAGCTGTCAATTGGTGGAATTTTGTGGTCAGTCATCATCCAACTGCCGCTATCGCTGCTGCTGCTAGAAACAAAATAGACCAAGCAACAGATGTCGCTATCAAGCCACGAGGAAGACGAAGCGCGAGAAAGAACAGCAGAGAAATATTTTCTCAGTCATCGTTATCATTGACGTGAATGGCAATTTCACGCACATTGGTCCCGGATAGTGCCGACGCCGATGTGTTTCCCTCGCAACCCAACAATAATCAGTGCATTCGTAAACGTGCTGAAGCCGCCTGAGTGCAAGCTTTTCGGCTTTTCATCGCCATGTGACACTACGAATATCGTTCACAAGCGTCACACTACTACTACGATGACGGTAGAGTTATTTGTTTCACAAAAAACATCGACGGCTTTACTGTTCCGCAGCCGTCCGTACTAAAAAGCTGTTGTTGAGCCTCTATCTGTCGTATCAGAAATGCGTTCTTACTGCCGATGGTGATGTGATCAGAATCGAAGAAGCTTGTTGATTGTCGTCGTTGTTCAAGTTTGCGTGTGTGCATATGTATGTGTGAGTGTCGATGTGCAGTGATCGGTGGGTGTACATCACTGCAACGACAGTCGCAGCAGCAGCAGCAGCAGCAGCAGCAGTGGGGTAGTAGGGCCGTGAAGTGCAGGCTCAAGAATGGCGGAGTGGCCAGAGAACGTTTCTAGCTGCGAAAGGACTTCTGCCCTGTCTGAAAGCAACGACATAAATGGACGGGGAAGGACGGCCGTCGTCGCCGCTGCCGTGAGCGACAGCAGCGGCAGTAGCAGCAGGCAGAACAGTCCACTGCAACAAACTAGCAATTCAACAACCCCGCTAGCAACAGCTGGCGGACAGCCAGCAGCTGCAAGTACAGCTGCCGGTGGAGGCGGTAACGCAAACAGCAAAAATCAATATAACAACAATAGCAGTAGACTAAGGGACTCGCCTAGTGCACATAATCGTAGTAATAACACAAATTGTGGCAATGGTGATAGTGTGAGTACCACGGCTGCAGTAGCAACAGTTGCAGGTGCTACAACATATGCAAAAAGAACGGCGTCAAATCTACCTTCTACTATAAAAGCGACAGTGACAACTACGACTGCCAGATCGACTACTACCGATAGTAGTGATGCTGACGATAGTAGTAACAATAAAAGTAGTAGTAATAATAATAAATGTGCTTCGGTGGTTGTGTCTTCCGGTAAAAGTAATGGCGGCTGCAGCAGCAGCAGCAGCAGCAGCAGTAGTAACGTTCTCCGAGCGGAAGCCGCCGGATGGGTTCCATCAGAACATGTACAACATAATGGATTACCAATGAGTAAGTTCCACCTACACTTAGCTAGTGCAAATATCATTACTATGCGCTATATATATACACACATACACGTATACATATATTTTTTCATGCAATGACATTTGCTGGTTGTAGAACCTTAACGTGATGCAGTTAAACGAAGATAAAGGGCTGAATGCTGAGCACAAAGATAACGTGGAAAAAAAACGGAAAGGTCAAATGTAGCGTGACGTATTCACCGTTGCCACCATCGACCTGGTTCATTGTGACTGCACAGTTATCGGTGACAAAGCATCGATCCAATGTAAATTCGAATTTGTGATTATAAGAAATTGGACTTTCACACATCAAAGTTTGTTCACGTTCAACTAAATTGGGCTAAGCTTTTTGCCTTAGTTAGTATAGCTGGTCCATTGATATTGAAAAATCATTGTTTTGTCCGTTTTGAAGAAGTGCTAGATACCTGTTTTGGTAGACCGTGTAGAAATAGTCCGACATTAAAGTAGTTCTACCTCCTGTATTTAACTGAAGCGCAAAACGTCCAGTGGGCAGGCAGAATAAGAGGAACCAAGCATTTAGGTAACACCATATTAATCGCTGCGCATCAGCCTGAGATACTTCTGTATGGCAAGCATTTAGCACTTTAGCATGGAAGCTGCGGTATCTATTAGCACCTATTTGATTTCTCTCTGCTATCGACGCCAATGGAACACCATCGTCTTCAATTTGAACCAATCACTCACTCACATCCATATAAGTTCTCTGAGCAGACAACACGGTCTTAACCCCTCTGTGTCCCCCGAGAGAATCCGCGACGTTATGTCAAGCCGTCCGACGACTGATCATTCAGTTGGCGAATGAATGGATTGGACATCCAGGATAAACTCGGACAACATTGGCAAGCGTATTCCCCATCGTTATTTTGGGTACGATTTATGAAAAAAAAATGTCGAACTTACCACGACGTAGACAAACGTTTTCTTCTAAGACAATGCCGGACCCCTTCCCCTCGCCAAGAAATTATTAGCCATTTTGACGGCCTGAATCTACACACATCGGGTCTCTATAGTTCTTCTGATGCATCCAGACACCATTTTTATGAGGCGGAACGGGAAGCCCCTTCAAAAATAATTTTAAATTGAGAAAATTAATCAAAATAACCCTAGAAATCGCGCTCTGATGTTTATGTATACCACAGCGGCCATTTTCGGAAGAGAAGTATCCGTTTTGTTAGGCCGTTCAAAAGATAGCCCCAATGGCTTGCTTTTTCAAGCTTTGTGCCTTTTTGCATTGTTTGAATTTTACCATTTGCGGTTGTTTCATGCTCTTCTCGTTTTGAGACTTTCGACCTACTATTAGGCCAAGATATATTTCCGCTGTATTTGTCCTTCGTGGTGTGCTTGAGCAAGATTTTAATAAATGTACACCTATCAACATTGTTTCTCTTACGATTATATAAAAACATTTTCGAAAGGATTCGGAGGAGTGACCGAAGTGAATCATAGTTTCAATGTATCAACACGGTCACGAGAAACGTGTATCTGGCGTATACAAAAAACTTAATCCGATCGTCTGTCTTCAGCTAAATCTAAGAGACTCTACTTGATCCCTTTATTTAAACATATGTGGCTCATATATAGAAAATGTTAGCCGGCAATGGCTCACTGCTTGTAACTTAAATAAAAGAAAAGCTAGCTCCTGATACGGCCTACCAGTAACTAATTTGAGTAGTTATATTAGCACTATTTGAAGCGGCATTAGTTATGGTACCGATGAATTGTCGGAGACTCGAATATAAGTAACAGACAGCAACTGCATTTCATCAATATTTACCTTTTGCCTCGTGTCGCCAGTTACGCGACGCACTATTACTTCGCCTTACGTAACAATAGAGGCACAACAATTAAGTTTGGTTGGCATCTACTTGAGCAATCGCAGCGCGTGTGTGTTGTTGCTACGACTGCAGATGGCCGCAAGGCGTATGCAAAGACGTAGATAGCAGAGTTAATTATAAATAGGGTTTTTATTTTTTTGGATGTTGCCTCAATAAGCGGCTTGTCGTAGTGAAACAGGTAATGAAACAAAAATGAATACCTCCGTCTCGTTGAGGTCATGTCAGCATTGTTTGAACGAGATCTAAAGTGAACTTAGATTAACTTGAATTTAGATTATGAAAATCTATTGCTAACAAATGACTTTGATAGGTCTGAGCGCTATTGTATGTATGCGTATTGTTTGAAGAGGCTCCCTTTTTAGCTAAAACAAACACTATGTACATAAACACAATGCAAAGGAATTATTGTACCTAACTTTTTTTTACTGTGAGCCTAGCATACTTTGCACATTCAGTAGCACAACAAGCATAGAGGCAGACAGACTCTCTCTCACTAACTCTGGCAACGATGTATTGGGGCTGGGGGCCGCTTAACGGCGGCGATCAGCTACCATTACTGCTGATTTAGCTGCCCCTGTTTCGCTATCCGCTACATACGCGCTGGCCAGAGAGCAAGCAAGCGGGCAAATGGTTGGTCACACTGTTGTTCCACGTATACACTAAACGGCAGAGTGATAGGGTTGCAGAAAAGCCTCTGTTCTCTCCGTGACACGGACAGCCGACACCATGACCGTCATTGTAGCCATCATTATAACCGTATTTCAGTAGCAGCAGCATCTTTGCCAAACTAGTAGTATACAGAAAGAGCGCAAGACCGAAAGCAAGAGAGAGACGGGACATCAGAAGCTTTTTACACTCTGCTGCTGCTGATGGCAGCGGAAGCTATCGTTTCATTACAGTCGAATGATCAGTAGATTGCGTTCTTCAAGTCAAGACTGACGCTCTCTATTTTTACGTAAACGTAGCATTCTTTTATTAGGAAACTACGATCGCTTTGTAAGCTACTGTCTAAAATACTAAAAAAAAATGTCATAGAATGTGCCAATAGTGATATATATATGTCAATCAAAAACCTTCCGCCGAGAGTGTTTCCACATAAGGTACAAAACCATAAACACGTATCATAATCCCACTATGCCATATGATATTATGATTATTTATCTATCTATCAATCTATCCGTTTGTTTGTTTGTCGGAATAAAATCCACCCTTCGGTGGTCGGATCGGGCTGGTCTTTGGCAGATCGTTAGATTTCTATTTGGAATATAGTTAGAACGTATATTCTTGGATGTTTTTTTGCGATCCATTGGATGTGCATTTTTTGTGGGAGGCGGAGATACGTTAATTTAAGCAAATTGGTCGTTTTTTTGCAATTTTTGCTTTGTCTTTTGTTGCAGGGTTGTCTTATACATGCCCGGAGGAAAATTGCGTGAGCTATTTTTTGGTGCGATTTTTATTAAAGATTTTTCTCCCGACAGACGAAGAAGAGCTTGTTTTTTTTATAACAATTGGAAAGCTCTCACTAAGATGTATCAAAATACGCTGCATGTCGCACAAATGTCAGTTTTCTTGTGCAAAATGCTTTCCGAAGGGCGAAAGCCTGTTGTATATAAGGGTTTTTTCTTCATGCGGTTTTTTCTTCGACAGGCTGTGCAAACGTGCAATGCACATCCCTATACTCATAATGGATATTTTAGGTTAAGACCCCATTGAAAGGTTTGTTTTGTCCACGTGAAAGGAGAGGAATGAAGATGCGGATTTTTGAGCGATTTTTTAATAGATACCAATTGGAAAGTTGAAACGGCAAATAGATTCTCGTGTGAATCGTTCTCTAATTCATCTTCAGCGAAAAGTGCCAAAATGTCTGTCGCCAATATATGACGATTTGTTAACGACACAAAATATAAGAAAGCTTTCAGCCTTGCTGACGTTGGCCGACTCTATTCAGGTGCGTTTCCGAAGCAGAGTCAATCGTCCAACATTAAAAACCGTTTGATCAAACCAACATACCATGAGCAAAAAAAATTTAAGTGTTAACTGAATCCTCTGGTGAATCAGAATATTAAAACATGCTACAAAAACAACTACAGAAAAGTAATGTGTTAGGCGAAGCAAGGTTATTCCAATGGGGTACTTGTTGTCTGCTCGGCCTAAAGAAATGAATCAGCCTAGCTAACACATATTCATACAAAGCAAGTATGACGCAAAACCCGCGGGTCTGTTCCGTAAAAATTAAGAACGTGGAGACGTGTTAATCGACAAAACGTCACTTCTACTTATGCGGCCCGCTTGCTTAAGGGCCGCATGTACCGTTGAATAACTGAGCCGTCGAAACGTTTCCAGCTCGTATAATAGTAGTTTCTTTTCCTGCCTCTCCACAAAGACGCCCACGACTCGAAAACTAGCTGCGTCCTGGTTGTTTGGCAATGCACTCATCGCGTCGTCTGCTTTATCTGTATTACATCGGTCTGTTTGTCTGTCTACATATTATTTTCGTGTGTGTATGTATGTGCGCGTGTCTATGTGCGTACGCCCCCTGTCGGTGGAGCAATTCACACAGTTTGGTGCTGTGCATCAAAAAAAGTTCCCGTCCTTTTCATCACCCTCATCGGCGCAATGCACAATTGCCATTGTAGACTCTTTCTCCTTAGAATGAGTACCCGCTGTATTACTACTTGGACAGTAGCGTCTACTATGGCACTCACATTCACCAGACTGTTTGGAAGGCGCTTATCGTACTGGCATAAGTGAGCTTTCCCGTTTGTTATTGCAACGGTGGTGGTACTAAATATTGGGCTGTCGAAAAACTATTGACCGTTCTAGCTAGATTGCTTTAAAGTCACGTATATTAGTTAATATCAATTGCGTTGGGCCGACGTTGGTGTCATTTGAAAGCTGAGATCTGGAGGTAATAGATGTGCTACAGTTGTTGGAATGCCTATATTCAGACTTAGGTAGGAGCACCCTGAAAATTCGTGAAATTCATGCAAAAATTCGACCTATTTTATAATTTTATTACGTTAAAGGCACATACGCTGCCCAGGTTCATAAAAAAAATTGCGTTGTCTATTATAAGAATGCGTTGTGGGAAAAAGATCGCTCGCAGATGGTTCGGTTGCTTTCGTTCTGG